TTACTCAATCTCATGTTCTTCCAAACCTGACTTTCTTCTGCAGGAAACTAATAATAATGAATAGTGACCGAAGGCATCAAGTCTCCATAAATATGCAAAATCAATCACCATAAAAGTATAATCTGCATGACTCATGCACACTATTCTTCTGAAGCCATATGGTAGAGAAAGTGTGAGGAACACAATTAAGTTGATATTTACTTAAATCTGCCATGACTCTTTCGGATTTTTTATGAGTGATTAGAGAACAAATTCAATTGAGCCGAAACTTTTTTTCTTTTTTGCAGAAAGCAGTGTTCTGAAACTCATGTAAACCCGAACACAGTTTTGGCAAGTTTATTTATAGCACATTTCACACACTATGGCAATTCAAAGTGCTTTATATAGAAAGGAATAAAAATAATCACAAAATAAAAGCAAGGAAAATTAAAACAGTTATTCAAAATGCTTTACATGAAAGGAATTAAAATATCACACTATGGCAATTCAAAGTGCTTTGCATAGAAAATAAGCACAAAATAAAAGCAAGGGAAATTCAAACAGTTATAAAAGGAATTAAAAGAGATAAATGATACAGTTATAAAACAAATTAGAGTAAAATGAATTAAAGTATTAAGAATTAAAAAGATGATACATAGAATAAACTTCTCGTCTGGCAAAACACAGGTGTATCTTATTTTGCATAGTTTTACTCTTACACTGTGTCTGTGGTGTTTATTCTGCGCGCCTAAGAATTCCATTGGACGTCTCCAATGGACCCGGTTTTTCTCTAAAATCGGACAGGAGGACCTCTAGGACTTACATCAAGCATAGCGTCAGTTCTGGCAGGTCACGTTAGTCAAGCTCGCATCAGCTGACTCTCAGCTGATCCACTTCTACCTATACGACGCCTATCACTGTATACATATATAAGCTCCTTCAGTATTATCAGCAGCTATCGTGTTTCTCAGGAGCTAATTTCCCTCCTCCATCCCCAGCTCCTCCTCTCGCCCAGTCAGGATTTGGCATTCTGATTCCCCTTGAATCAGAATAAATTCTCAAATTAAGTTGTACTTTAAAATCTTGAATTAATTATATCTGTACATTCATGTTGGTTCTGTTCTGTTCACCCTAAGGGGGGTTATTGCTGCTCTCCCTGCTCTTATCTATGCTAGGCTGCATGGATATGCAGGGAGTTTTCGGCCAAAACGGAACCTTACCGCTAATCCAAACTGTATGCTAATTGTCAATCGTATTTGACGATAGTGGTCCTGACAGAACTCGGGTTCACTGCCCCATCAGTCCGCACCCCAAAAAGAAGAAAAAACAACAACATTTGTTTGGAAGCTCTAGGGATGGAGTCGATCCAGTCCGCACCCCACAGGACTCATTACTCCACCACAGACCCAGGTCATCAGCATGGTTTCATCTCTCAATTTCCTCAATTAAATTCAAATAATTAAAAGAGATAAACTGGAAAAACACTGGTGTATCATATTTTGTACAGCTGCTTGTTATACTGTGAGATTATCCCATGTGGATTGTACTGTGTGGTGATCTTTTGACGCGCCTAAAAAATCTATTTGACGTCTCCAATAGACCCGATTTTTCCCTAAAATCGGACAGGAGGAGCTCTTGGACTGACTCCTTGGGTTCACTGCCCCATCAGTCTGCACCCCAAAAAAAACCCATTTGTTCGGAAACTCTAGGAATGGAGTCGATCCAGTCTGCACCCCACAGAACTCACTACTTCACCACAGACCCAGGTCATCACATCAGCATGGTTTCATCTCTCAATTTCTCCAATTAAGTAATTTATGTTTGTCTCTTATCCAATTTTCAGTGCCATTTGAGTTTAGAATCAAAAGGAGGATGCAGAAATAAAGTACAGTGTAATCAGTCGGACGCACAGTGGCAGTGCTCATTCAGTAAATGCACAGCTCGACAGATGTGTTTTGAGTCTGGATTTGAATGTGACTACTGTAGGAACACATCTGATCTCCTCTGGAAGCTGGTTCCAGCTGCGGCTGGCATAGTAGCTAAAAGCGGACTCACCATGCTTAGAGTGAACCCTTGGTATTTCTAGTTGATCCGATTGTTCCCGGCGGCCCCCGCAGCGTTGGTCTGGTTTCACACTCAACTTGATTCTATTGAACCCATAGACAGTAAAAGAAATGGACACAGCGACCCCATAAAAAGTGAAGTCAAATAGAAGCACTCACTTCCTGATTGCCAAGCGCACTGCGCACGCTCAAACTGAGCTTGAAGACGTAGTTGTGACGTGAGCAACCTGACTGACAGTTGTACGTCTTCTAGTAGCGGTGCCAAGAGGAATCTGAATCATTCCCTTCTGAATCTTGCAGAGCCGGAGATCGTGAGTATTAGCTGTTCATGAGCTCGCAGCAGGAGCAACTTTATGACTTTCTATGGGCTTCTCGCTTGACTTTATGCCTCCACGTCCCCCCGATTGCGAGCGAGCTTCTACTTCTGTCTATACGGTAATTTCTCTTCTATGCGACAGAGAGTCGCGTGTTATGACGCAATCGTTAGCCTATTTTTACAAAAACTGCTTCTACGGGGCCACAACGTAAGATACAAGGTAATGGAGCATTTTATACATTGTCGTGTTTCTTTAGAAATAAATAATGGACAAATGGAGTCTTTAAACGTCTCAGATGTAAAGTTATTCGCTGTCAAAGTGACGCAAAAATGAATGGGAGTCAATGGAATGCTAACAGCAGGTGAAGGCTTGTTAGCCAATGGCGGCGCCCGGGGAGACTTCAGTTTCCGGCTGGTGGATTACTCCCTTGATTGAACCCTGGTGCGTTTGCGTGCATATTACGTCATCGCAAACGTGCACGGCGCATGATAGAAAACAGAACGCGGGTCAATATTGTGTTTTTTTTTATTCGCTGCTATTATGCGCAGTTGAGTGAACAATACAGGTTTACTGTGCGTGTGTCACATAAGGTGGCCTTCTGCTGCTTGCAAACGGACTTTGAGGAGACAGTGGATTTCCAAATTTGGTGCCCTGATTTCATGCGGAATGCACGAATACACTGCAGACTCACGGGGACGGTTGTAACACGGGGCTAGTTGTAACACTACCAATTCCACCAATCAGGGATAAGATAGGAGTCATGTGACAGTTTCAGTTTCCTCAGGCTTCCTTTACGATCTCACACGGAGGTTTTTGAGGTTTTCAAGTCTTTGTTGCAATCTCTCCTGAGGCTACAGCAGAAAATCAAATTCTGAGATAAGAAAGTAAAAAAACATAACAAGATAATATTTTGTTTAGTATTTCTACCGTTGTAGATAATGTTGTATGAGTTATAGCAGGTCAAACTGTAGTTTCTATAGTAAAGAATGGTGTATCAATCTCCTGCTAATTTCAAAGCACCATGCTAATAGGGGATTATCACGCTTCCGGGTTTCATGGGCGGGATTTGTCAACTTTGTGCATGTCCACTTCCGACGCAGTTCAACAATGGCTGAAACGAAGGCTAGATATCACTGCTCTGTTCCACTTTGTAAATCTAACCAACAACGCTAACCCTACTTAAGTTCTCATGGATTCCCGACTGAATTGAGTATAAGGAAGAAGTGGATTAAAGCGGTTCGCCGGGATTAAGGTCCAAACTTTAAAATAAAACAAGGTAGCACGTTTGTTTGTAGCCGGCACTTTAGTGAATCAGACTAAATTACCAGGGATGCCGTATAAATAAACTTAGTGTAGTCCGTCATCAGTTCGCCAGAGTGATCGGTGATTCAACGGAAGTGGCAGTGCACAAAGATCACTGAATGCGGAAGTACTACGTATCAGCGTGATAATCCCCTATACAGCTAGTTAAACAATTGTGACAGTGGCGGGGTAGGTTGTAACACGTGTTTTGAAAGTGTTATTGTGTTAGTGTATAAGTCCATTGTGACTTAAAATGCATTTCATTTGTTTGTTCTTGTCACCATTGTGACGTAAAATGCATTTCATTTGTTTGTTCTTGTCACCATTGTGACTTAAAATGCATTTCATTTCTTTGTTCTTTTTCACCATTGTGACTTAAAAATACATTTCATTTGTTTGTTCTTGTCACCATTGTTTACACATGCACAAACACAAAATATGCACATACACCCCCCATATTCACACATATTTTATTGTTGCAGCCATTCGTTTAAAATAAAAACGTTGTTGTGGCATATCACTTGGAATAGCCTTAGTTTTTCTGCATTTTGTCTACCTGTTACAACTTACCCCAGTATGTGTTACAACCTACCCCAGTAGTGGGGTAGGTTGTAACAAAGGACCACCTTGTATTCATGATCATCTCACAAAGTCTGTGATATATTTTGAAGAAATTTAAATTGTTGCCATTTGTAGTAGACAAATATGGGTACTTTGCCTAAAAGTTTCAGACGTGTAGCAAAAAAAAAAGGTCGTTTTAGGTGCTGAAGAAAAAAGTGTTACAACCGTCCCCTGTCTCCCGTACACACACACAAAAAGAAAAAACTATCAATTACGTAACGCGAGTAAATGTAATTCGTAGGCTACTTTCCACCTCTGGCTATAGCCTAGTGCAAGTGCATAAACGTGAACGCCACTTCGCGTCTTGATGCTTTCGTGTGTGACGCACAATTCAATAATGATGTATAATGTCGCTCTCTTTACACAAAGCTATGACTTTTGAAGAACTTGATCTATAGGCTATATAGCCTTGGATCCCTTTGCTTGGCATAGGCTATTTCATCACCATTTATTGTCACTGCATTAAAAATAGATTGATCAATACATTGGATGATTTCTGTGTTCCACATGACAGTAAGTCATCCAGTTTTGAAACGACATGAAGATGAGTAAATAAATAGCCTGCTACCAGAAATATCATTTTTGAATGAACCCTATTAGCCTATATAGGAGCAACAACCAATGAACTGTTCAAAAAAGGAAAGTCAAAAAGCAACTGGTTTGTAGTAGCCTAGCCTACGTCAGGTAACCAGAATCTTGTGTTCCCTGATGCCCGTTTCAGAACGCAGACAAACCAATGACAGGGGAAGAGAAACCCCCACTGGTTATCCACGCGCGTTGCCCACCCCGCATGCTTTTTCAGAAAGCCAACATTATCCATCTGTCACTTACAGACGCTCAGCACACGTCATTTGGTTGATATAGGTGGGCTGACTCGAGAACAAGAGGACTATCTGAATAGCAACTTTACTGGATCGAGTCCATGCGTGGATTTCAGCGCATCGTGAATGGTAAGAAATCCGTGGATCGTCCTCTCGTCAGTGCGTTTCGATCTAAATTCGGTCATTAGGTTTTTGTTGTGTGTCTGCCGTGTAAATTATACTCGCAATACTGATCTTACTGATCATACTAACTTCTTGCAAATGCTTGATAGCCTACATCCTCTCCCGGAGCTTGGGCAAGAAGTTGTGTCAGCGGAGCCTGTGTGAGTGATGCTCTTGAAAGATGTGACTGGGTTCAGTCTTATAACTAAACTAGAAATGCAAACTGCGAATAGCTCAGTCCTGATTCTGATCAGTGACATGTAGCCTACACTATAAGATGCTTGTAAAATATTGAATAAGTTATTTGTGTAATTAAAGTGGCATCATTGTTAAAGGAGTTATATGATTCGTTTTATAAGTGTAGGCTAATATTTAAATCATTTTTAAATCACTTAACAGGATTAGCCAATACAGAAAAAAATATTATGCATTGTACCTTGTTCCATATCAAACATGCTGTATCCATAAAAATATTGCAAACCGGACTAAACTGCACTGGCAGTCTTATTATGGTCTCCAACCCTAATGGTCTATTGGCTGGTTTTAAAGGGATTTTTGGGTACTTTTCAGCAGGTTAGGCTTGGAGACCATGAATACCTTGGTCAGGCTATGATACTATCTTAAATCAGCAAACCTAAAGCTAAAGGCAAACCATTTTAAGTATAATGCACTATAGACTTTTTGATGGTTATTTATTGAGCGATACTGTATTTATGCTTTTTGGGATATTATTGATTTGTTGCTCACATTAGTGTCTTGCCTATAGCTATATTGACCATAAACACATTAACCTTGAATAATACTGTGCCTGTAGGCATATAGACACAGAGAGAGAGTTTAGACACATATAAATAACATACATTCTTTCACGAATCCTCCATATCTCTCTAGTCTTGTATTAACATTTTAATGGTAAATTTGCAAGGGAATAAATCCATTTGCTCGTCATAAAAACAAAAGTTAAAAGTCTTTTCATTCCTGTGATTCAATTCAGGGTGGTCAAAAATGTGCTATAGACGTATATCATGTATACTGGTTGAGAACTTGGCAAAACATTGATTTCTTTTGCTTAACTTTTTTTTTTTTTGGCAGGGAGTAAACTTAAGTTTTATATTGTGGTGAGTTAGAATTTTTGTACTCCTAAGTATTCAAATATTTAATTAATTCTCTAACTCATTTATTAGGTGAGGTGAAAGCATCTGTCATCTTTGTGATGAGCAGATTTAAAGCAGATTAATACCGTATATTCACAAGGTCAAGAGACCCAAAGACATTTACAGGGGAGAAATGTGACGGATGAATAGATATCAATTTTCTTTTTGTAGCACTTTCATGTCTGATAGTGCATGATTGTGCTGGTGCTTGATTGTGTTGGTCGATGTGGCTGCAGCGATTTTGTCAAATGGCAGAGAAAGCTAATCGTAGCTCTCAATGTGTGCACACTGATGGAAATAAATTTCCCCCCTACATCCTATATTCCCAATATGGTAATCAGTTTGTTGGACGAAAAGCAGATTCATAAGAGAGTTTATTTTATAAGAGACAACCCTGAAAGTCCTATAAAAGCTGAAGCCATTGAGGCTTTCAAGATCTCTGTGATTGAAGAGAGAAAGACTGTCTTTACTGCAGTCTAGAAGCTGAAGTATATGTTAGATTGAATCTTTTTTTATTATTATTTCAAGAGCCACCATAATGTGTTATTGGCCTCTTTCTTGTAAATGAAAGTGCAGTTATGTCAGAAAACATGAGTCGACCCAACCAGAGGTTCACAAAAATGTGACCAGCAGGTCACATACAGCTGTAAGATGAATAGATTCAATACATTGATCGTCTGCAGGAACAAACAATCTGATCAGTCTCTTGATTGTGCTTGGTTGGTGGTTCAATCCCCGGTTCCACCTGACCAAGTGTCGAGGTGTCCATGAGCAAGACACCTAACCCCAGCTGCTCCCGACGAGCTGGATGGCGCCTTGCATGGCTGACACCGCCGTCGGTGTATGAATGAGTGAGTGAATGGGTGAATGCGAGGCAATATGTAAAGAGCTTTGGTGGCCATTGGGTCTGTGAAAGCGCTATATAAATGCAGTCCCTTTACCATTTAGTAAAACAGCTCTTTTGTGCCAATAGCTGTATATAACTGTCATTATATACACTTAAAAATAAAAATAAAGTGTCCAAAAGGCGTTTTTTACCACAATGTCATAGTAGAACCATTTTTGTCCCCCAAAGAACCTTTCAGTGAGCAGTTCTGAAAAGAACCATTTTTTTCTTAGTTTGAAGAACATTTAAAAAATCTAAAGAACCCTTTGCCACTATAAATAACTTTTGTGGAATGGAAAGGTTCATGGATCTTAATGGTTCTTCATGGAACCACAAATGCCAATTCAAACCTTTATTTTTAAGAGTGTACTGCAGTGGTGACTATCCCCTCTCAGGGCCTAATGCAGAGTACAGGGGAACCACCTCATTGAATGCTCAATTAGCAGGCCAGCAAGAGCTTTTTCATGCACAGTTCAAGAAACCTGAGGCAACCAACATGGCTGTTCATTGATAAGGAGTTTGTTGAGTGCTTGATTGTCATATCAGTAAATGTATGCCCTAACAATGTGTTTGAAATTCTGAAAACGTCCAGAATTGCCATGCTACATTTTTTTCTGACATGGCTGTTAATTTATATTAGGTGCAGAAGAGAATGTGTAATATGGGATTTCTGCTTCCTACTTTTCTTCATACAAAATCACTGATACCACAGACCATATCAATTCATGGAATAACAGAGAAAATTGTACTTGGAGGCCATCACTGCCAATTTCGTGCCACCTATGATTGATGAAATGTTTCTTAACGGCTGGCTCAAGAGAAACATTTGGCAACATACATCGCTTCTAAAATAGGCACTGCATTATTTAAGATGGTATTTTTCATCATTTGAAGAGAAATGAGACTGTGATGAGAGGCACAGAATATGTTACAGATATTGGATTTCTAATAGCAACACCTCAACCAGCGTGAACTGGAAACTGCAGAAACGCATTGATTTGGAGCAGGTTTTGGGCCATTTGAAAGTGGAACGGTTATTTTTATTTTTTTAGCTGAGGAAAGACCACCTAGCTTGGGTTGTCATCTATGACTAACACTGAGATGAAATTCTAAAAGTTTTGAATTGAATTTTAGGCATTTAGAGGTAGAAGAATTCACATTATTGTTTTGAAGCACATGCTAATGGACAGATCATTGACAAAACGACAAATGTTTAGTCCACAGAACTGCTTGCTTGGACAGGAACAGTGTTATTTTAAGATCACTGAGATACTATTGTAGTTTTTTTTTATATTATTTTAAAGGGGGGGTGAAATGCTGTTTCATGCATAGTGAGTTTTTTACACTGTTAAAGAGTTGGATTCCCATGCTAAACATGGACAAAGTTTCAAAAATGAAGTTGTAAGTTTGATGGAGTAATTCTGTTCCAAAAATACTCCTTCCGGGTTGTCACAAGTTTCGGAAAGTTTTTTTCGAATACGGGCGTGTGTGACGTCAGAGTGGCCGGAATTTCCTTATACAGGTCTTAAGGGGACTTCTCCCGGAAGGGCGCGCGCGCATCTGTAGCCTAGTGCGTGCGAGAGTACGGCTATTCCCATCAGAGCGCTGGGCTCGGTCGGCTGCGCTGCAATTAAAAAATGGCACCAAAAAAGTGTGTTTTTGGTTGCCAGGGCAAGACAACACTGCACAAATTTCCAAAGAACCCAGCGTTAAGGGACCTGTGGATGGATTTTGTTTTTCCAGAGCAGCAACGGAGTTGTGCAAGTGTTTTTGTTTGTTACCTTCATTTCGACGGTAATAGTTTTATAAACAAGGCCCAGTTCAACGCCGGACTTGCAGATCGCCTAATACTTCTTGAGTGGAGAAGTCTCAAATCTCATCTTTAGATGGAGCAGTCCCAACGATAAAGGTTCACGGTCGTGCGTTGGAACCGCAGGCGGTGATTAAAACTGCTTCAAATGTCTGTGAGTTGTTAACTATCGGCGTGTAAGCACAGCAAGTAAACAACATGATCACATACAGTTAATGTATCTATGGAGCATGCGATGTATGGTGTGTGTGTGTGTTTAAATACATTTGTTTAGCTGGCCACTGTAGTGTCAGTTTGTTTATTGTAAAAATAAATCATGTCCTCATAAACCACGAGTCTGTCTGTTTACAACACACAAATGTTGTAAAACTCGCGCATGACATGGTGTTCTAAAAACACTGCGCTCAAGTTCAAATCATTTCTATTTTAAAAAAAAACGCTCGAGACCTTATGTTTTTCACCCATTTCACTGCCCATCTCACGTTTTTGTGAGCAAAAACGCGTTCTGTATGAACGAGCCCTTAGTATTGTTTAGATCCTTGTTCTGCATGGGATTACTATCTGATTATTAGCCATGGTTTATTTTCGGATGTCACTCACAGCTTCCAGACGCTCTCAACCATGCTCTCAACGCAAAAGCTTCGCCCGCTCGTGTCGTGATTATTTAGCACCGCCCACACGGCACGCCTCCACCCGCTCGGGTTTTTCCGGAAAGACTCGGTACAGCCTATCTTTCTTTTATAAATATAATAAAACTAAAGACTTTTTGGAGATATGAAGGATGCAATACTACTCTATAGGTACTCAAGATGAACATGAGATTGAGTGAAACTGAGTGTTTCACCCCCCCTTTAATATTTTCATTTTATGTAAAACTACATGTCACCTGCTCTTATACCACAATGATAGAATACTAGGCAAAATTTGGCAAACTATTTGAATTATTTCTTACTCAGATGTATCAACTTGGTCATTTGTTTGCTAGGCTCATATGAGCCACATAAATCATTCTGCTGTAAACTATTAAAAAGCAACTTCACACAAAATGGCAGAAATGGCAGCCTTTATTACTGTGGTTACGGTTTTGCACTTATTTAAATAAGGAAATAGTATGGTAATAGGGCCAAGTAGCCAGCTCTGTGATTGTATAGAATAATCAAAATATGTATTAAAGTCCCAATTCCAAACAACTCCTTGTTTAGGTTTTAGCTGATAATGCATCTCACATCTGCCTATTTGTGATGGAACTCCACAAGCACTCAGTGTGATGATTATCAAATGCAAAGCAGACACACTATTTGCAATTTGGTGCATACTTAAAACAAATCTTCTTGATATGCACTTGCATTAAAGTCTAAAAATTGAGAAAAAAAACTCTGACCAACAAAGAAAAGTGCAATCCTTCCTAAATGCTATATTATTATAGTAAAGAAAAGCCATGCAAAATGAAAGTAAATGTAAGTGTGCATGCTTTCCTCACAGAGTGAAGAATGTGATGGTAACGGAGCAGTATGGAGTGCTCGTGGAAGACACTACTGCTGCTCGTGTGCACATCCTTGGGGGTGCAGTACACTGCCATCCGCTCCCTCCATGACTCCTTCAGTGGCCCATGCCAAGACTCCGCCCACTGCCAAGGACGACAGGGTAAAGGTGAGTCACTGTCCTGTAACATGAAGAATTCGATTTTCAGTGACATTTAACATTGGATGAACTTTCCTCCAGAATAGTACTGTCGCCCTCAGAATGGAAAATGAAATTTGGAAGTGGAAATGTGTGGTTTTTATTCAAATAGGATTAGGTTTACAATACCCTACTGATGGATTTTATTTGCATGTATTTTTATTAACAAATCAACAAGGTTTTCCACTATTTATATCTGGCAGTTCCTTAAGAAATATTCTAGACTTTTAATACCTTCATTTTTTTTCTTTAATCAAAATAATAAATAAAAAAACCTGTTTTAATCGGTAGTTCTTTTCAGCAAGTACAGTAGTATTAATTGATTCTGTTAATTGAGCAATTGTTTTTGGTTAGTTGTGTTTAGTTGTTGTTTGAAAGAATTACATGATATTATGGTATGATTAAAATTTCTAATCATGGCTCATTCTGTTTATGCTCTTGCCATTGTGTAATTAATCTTAGAATTAAGAAAAAATAAAGTAACTGAGCTTGACCAGAAGAACATATATCTGAAAACGTACTCGGTTACGTACGTAACCTCGGTTCTCTCTAGAAAAGGGAATGAGTATTGCGTAAGTTGCTTACGCTACGAGGTAAAGTCATCTTTTCTCGAGATATTGAAGCCAAAAATGATCCTTAATTTTTCATATATTGTCAACGCAGTGCAGCAGCCAGCAGACCTAGAGCAGGCTATCTTCCGTGCCCATTGGCTGCCCTGCGGCAACTGCTCCAGCCTACCACTGAGCCTCGCGCGTGACGTCGCGCCCTCTACGCGTCGCGTCACAGCCAGCCAGAAAGGGGGGTGGCTTAGCGTATAAAAGACGGGCTCGGGGGCTGCATCACTGGTTTCATCAGCTGAAGCGAAAATTCGCTCTTGGCGCCTGCACGGTCGGGTTACGCAATACTCGTTCCCTCTTCTAGAGAGAACCGAGGTTACGTACGTAACCGAGTACGTTCTCTTACGAGAGGTTCTCTCGTATTGCGTAAGTTGCTTACGCTACGGGAACCCATTGTCAACGCCGTGCGTGCCCAGCATCCACTTCATGAGTCCCAGGGATTCCCAGGGGAACATAGATAAGTGGGAAACAGGTGGCCAGCAGTGCGGGCCAGCACATGTTATAAGCACATATAGGGTAAATATAAATATTCACCATACAGTGCGGCTCAACCAGGAGAGCCAGAATCGCGTGAGAGTAGTCTGCGCATGATAAATCTGGGCAAGACATACACACCTCTCATACTGACAGAAGTCTAGCCTGCAAGGCGGGAACTTCCAGGTTATAAAACCTAACAAAAGTGACAAATGTCTTGAATAGACCAAGCCCACGACGAGGCCACGCCTCTGGTGGAATGCGCCCTGATGCCCAGGGGGCATTGCAGACCTTTACACCTATAAGCAGATGCGATAGCTTCCACTATCCATCTAGACAGGCTCTGTTTCGAGGCGGCGAGACCCTTCGTGCGCCCACCAAACGAAACAAGAAGCTGTTCCGAACCCCTGAAAGGGGCGGAGCGCGTAATGTAAGCCCTCAGCGCCCTGACAGGGCAGAGGAGATTAACATCGCCCTCACTATCGGATGCTGGCAGAGCCGAGAGAGAAATGACCTGCGCTCTAAAGGGAGTGCCCAACACTTTTGGGACATAACCGTGCCTTGGCTTGAGGATGACTTTGGAGTCATTTGGCCCGAACTCAAGACACACAGCGTCCGTCGAGATGACCTTTCGGTACGAGACAGCTCCCATTGTCACACCCCGCTGCTACCAGTCGGCCGCTAACCAGGGCTGCAGAGCCAAAACGCACCTCTGAGTCACTCTGATCCGTCTGCGGCCTGAAGCCCAAGCCTGGTGAGGCACTCGGGCGTTCAGCCAGCGCTGTAGCGGGCGCATGCGCAGCAGGCCCAGCTAAAGCACAGCCGAGGCCGATGCCATACAGCCCAGCATTCTCTGGAATGTTTTCAGAGAAGCGCTGCTGCCCTCCTGTAAAGATGCGGCCAGGTGTCGAACACAGCGCGTGCGCTGTGTTGATAAACGGGCCATCATAGCCACAGAGTCCAGTTCTATTCCTAGAAAGGAAACTGACTGAATGGGCAGTAATGAGCTCTTGGTCCAGTTGACCGAGAGACCCAGGCTTTCCAGATGACTGAGAAGCACAGTTCTGTGAGATAACAGTTCCATCTCTGACTGCTAGAATCAGCCAATCGTCCAAATAGTTCAGGATTCGCAGCCCTTTTTCTCTCAAGGGGGCGAGAGCCGCGTCCATGCACTTCGTAAATGTACGGGGTGCCAAAGACAGGCCGAACGGGAGGACGGTGTATTGATATGCCCGACCGTCAAAGGCGAATCTCACGAACTTGCGCGAGAATTTGTCTGGTCGTGAGCATTTTGAACGGCCGTCTCATGAGAGCTTTGTTCAAATATCTCAGATCTAAGATAGGTTTTAGAGCTCTGTCCTTCTTGGGTATGAGAAAATAGCGTCTGTAAAAGCCTGACTCGCTCAGAGAAGGAGGTACTGGTTCTATGGCCCCTTTGCACAGCAGTGTGGCTATTTCTGCACGGAGTAGATGTGCTACATCCGCTTTCACTTTCGTCTCAGTCCGTGCTCGAAAGCAAGGGGGACGGCGAGCGAACTGAAGCGAATAGCCCTGACTTATAGTGCTCAGCACCCATTCTGACACTCCTGGAATAGCCTCCCATGCTTTTCCATGTATAGCCAGGGGCAGACTGGACTCCGGGTTCCGATCGCCGCTTATCGCGGGCTCGGGAAACTGAACCGGAGGTGTGTGCGAGGCGCGCACGCCCTCGGATCTCGGGAACGGCAGCTCGCTGACAGCGGAGACTGTCTGAATCACTTGTGATGACCCGACAACTGGGAATGGGGAACATTTTGTGATGATATTTTGTGCGAGCGGAGCCTGGGGCGAAGTGTTTTTCAGTAAGCGTGAGCGCTCGCGGGCGGGCACGTGACTTACATTCATAACTCGGCCGCTGTGAGGCTGTTGCCGTGTAATAGAGCGGGCAGCGAGTAGGTGTGAGCACAAATCTGTGGGCACATTCTCTACATCTAGCACTGAGAGTGGGCTCTGTGGGTGTGTGAGACACGTGGGGCACCGTGTTTATGTGTAGGGGTGAGCACTGCTTTGTGGGCACTTTCTCTACACTTAAAACACCATCGGCGTGAGCCGGTTTGCCAGAAATTATACTCTTTTTGAGATTTCTCTGGGTCGCCGTGAAAACGGCGGTTGTGTGCAGGCGAGCGGGCTGTGTTGCCGACTCGTTGGCTGCTAAAAGTACGTCTGCAGTAGCCCTCTCTGAGGAGACTGACAGGACGAGATATTTTGATGGCGGTCCGGCCGCAGCGAGACCCAGCCGTCTTTTCCTCTCTACTGTTGCTAGGAGGGATTTGCATGCTCGGGCTTCAGCGCAATCCTGGGCCGGGGTCCCCGGGGGGAGGCGGCCTGGGGCGGCTGGACGAGTGCGATCTAGGGCAGCCGCCCTGTCATCGCTGCGAAGGCTGGGGCTGAGCTGGGCGCTGGCTAGCATTCCGTGCAGGCGGCTCACGAGGGCAGCTTGCAGCGGAGCTCGAGCGTCAAGGCAGAAAGAGGTTCATGGCCTGCAAGGTCTTCTGCACTTCGGAGAAGCGGTCGACGATCCCGTTCACCGCTGGGCCAAAGAGACCAGTAGGGGAGAGCGGCGCGTCAAGAAACGCGGAGCGCTCAGAGTCCCTCATATCAGCAAGCGTCAACCATAAGTGCCTCTCTGTGACGGTGAGCAAGGCCATGCATCTGCCGATTGCCTGAGCCGCGAATTTAGTAGCACGAAGGGAGAGGTCCGTCCCGCTCCTCAAATCCTAACATAAATCCTGACAAAAGCTGACATTACTCCTCCTCCGACTACCTGCTCAACTGATGAGAGGTTAGGCTAATGTCACGTTGCCATAAGGGGCCGTTCACATATCGTGTTTTTTGTGCATGCAAATTCGTTAAATATAGGCGCGCGGCCATCGCGCTCATAATAGAAGTGACGCGCGCCTATGTTCATGGTTGCAATGACAGACGGTACGGGAGCGCAAGCGCTTGTGTAAAGAAGGAGAAACATTCCACGGAAACGGTGCGGCGGCCGCACTTTCCACGCGTTTTAGACGCGATATGTGAACGGCCCCTTAAAGTGGTATCGGGTGCGGTTATATCGCATGTACGAGTACATGACCACAATATAGGACCGACACCCGAGTATTGGTATCGGTATCGGTGCATCCATACTCTATAGGCTTATCTCTCAGGTCATCACTTCTCTAATGAGTGAGTTTGTAAGGAAAGAAATTAGCAGAGAACTGTTAGAAATGCAACCTGGAAATTCCCATTGCATCCGCTGTAAGGAGCGAGAGATGGAATATCAATAATTAATTCTACAATTATCTCATCATTAATCTAACGTAATATGTCCTCACGGACCAGCTGTTTGCACTTCCAGAAAGCGTTGACTCGCACAACCTAATGTGCCACGCGCAATCAGTCTCTCATCAGCCGTAATTACACGCGTTATCAGTCTCTCCCACAACTCCTGCTATATATAGTAATTGTTCATTTTGAGCAAAAGTCACATCATCTTTTTTCATATGTGAAGAAATGCAGTCATTGTTCATATTTCAATTTTATACAGTTTTTTTCTTCACATAATGCTCTAAAATGGTGAAATGATTACCATCGCAGAAGGAGGCAATCCAAGTCTTCAAAACAACTATTATTGCTGTACATTTTCTCTCTGCTGTGAGGATATGTTTTTAAAATTGGACTTTATTAAAGTTTTTGTTAAAATTAAACTTTTTTTCCCTAAACTAAAGCTCCAGGTATTTTTTTCTTAGCCAAATAACTGATTGATTAAAGATAAATCTGAACTAATTGGGTCTTTTGTGGCCCTATAATGTCCTCTGTGGTTTCAGAGCGCTGTATTATCTCACTTTCTCTACTTCTCTTCCCCAGAGCAGAGATGGAAATCTCTCTGCGATGACATCCATGTCCCTGCTGAGACTAGCACTGCCACCGCTCGAAAGCACATCCTTCTGTTTGCACAAACCCGTAGTGGCTCCTCCTTTACCGGACAGCTTTTCAATCAACATCCTGGCATATTTTATGTTTTTGAGCCTCTTTATCATGTGCAACAGGCCTTTACCAATTCTAGTAGCCGCCTGCAAAGGGCTTTGGATGGCAGAGCTCTTCTGGGGGCCTACCGAGACCTCCTCCTCAATCTCTACAACTGTGACTTCAGCTTCCTGGAGAGCTACATTCGCCCTGAACCACAGGATCACATGACTGGGACCTTTTTCCGCCGCAGCTCCAGCCATGCCCTGTGCACGCCGCCTGTCTGTCAGGAGGGTGGGGAGGAGATTCTAGCAGGGCAACCGGATGAATCCTGGTGCCCGAAAAAGTGCCAGGCGCTGAACCTCACTCTAGCCTCTCAGGCTTGCCAAGCACGAAGCCACGTGGTTATAAAAACAGTTCGTATCCCAGAGGTAGGAGACCTACGCACGCTGTCAGAAGACCCCCGTTTAGATTTGAGAATCGTCCATTTGGTGAGAGATCCCCGAGCCATTCTTGCATCTCGCATGACTGCTTTTGCTGGCAAATTCAGAGCCTGGAAGATCTGGAACGCCACTGGCCGCCAACCGCGGTACGTGGACCTGACGCAGATAACAAGTACGTGCAGAGATATCGAGTATTCTGTGGAGACCGGCTTGCAGAACCCCACATGGCTGAGAGGGAGGTATCTATTGGTGCGTTATGAAGACTTGGCCTTGAATCCTGAGGAAAAGGTCAAGGAGATATATCGATTTCTGGGGATGGACTTGCATCATAAAGTTCTCACATGGATTGCTCATAACACCAATGGCACTGTCCCTTCTTCTTCCGATTGGAACTATAAGTACTCCACCACAAGAGACTCTAAAGCCACAGCTCAGAGTTGGAGAGTACATCTGAACTTTGACATTGTTAAGACAGTTCAATCTTTGTGTAACAGAACTCTTGCTCTACTAGGCTATAAGCTTGTCCAGTCTGTAGATGAACTGAGGAATATAACAAAAAGTTTAATGGACCCCAGGACGTAGTTAAGTTAACTTTTTTGTGAACTACTGCTTAATTTTGAAGACACTTTTATCCAAAGCGACTTATATTGCATTCAATACATTGAATCAAACAGGGCTAATTAGTATATTTGGTTACATAATATTGTGTTAATTGCTTCAATTTGTTATGACAACTTGCATACAAGCCATGTAAATCCATGCAACATTATGTATACTACTTTGGGGGAAATTTAGCTCATGAATAATAATTAGGTTTATGATTATGATGCTTTGTAACTTTCCTTAAAGGTATAATTTGCCCAAAAATGAAAATCATTTATATTTTTCCAAACATTTATGACTTTCTTTCTTTTTTGGAACATAAGATATTATGTGTGTGGGGTTAAATTTTTTAGATGTGTTTTTTTCATGCAAAGGAAGTCAGTAGTAACAAAACTTTTTGGTTACCTTTTTTTTTTTAATCTTGTTTTGGGTAATGCAGGTTTGAAGAAATTATGACAGAATTTTCATTTTTGGATGGGCTATCCCTTTAAGCACCTGGTCACATGAAGTAATTAATATTCAGCCAGGACTTCAGAATAGCATGATGCAAAAAGAGCATCCATGTCTATCATTTTCAGCTTGTAAATGTGCATTGATGTGACCAAAGAATCACTACCGAGTATCGACAAAAGCACAGCATACTTGCCAGTGACAACACATGCCAAAGCTGGTCAAATTAAGTCAAGAGCGTGTTATCTGGACGAGCCCATAAATGGCCTTAAAGGGATACTCCACCAGTTTTTCTTATTAAACTATGTTATTCCCTTAACTAAGACGAGTTGATACATACCTCTCTCGTCTCAGTGCGTGCACTATATCGCTCTGTATTGCCGCAAAACTATGTTAGCACTTAGCTTAGCCCATGCATTAAATATGGGCCAAGCAGAGAAGCGACCAAACACTTCCACGTTTTCCCTATGTAAACACAGTTACTCGAGTAGTGTAACTTGACCTGGGCTGGTGACACAAAATAAACCGTTGCGCTTTTCTAAGCGTTTAAAATTGATGACTATATTGTATGGCGGAATACCATAACAAGTGCTTTTGACCACTTCGTCCCGGCTCCCGCTTCCTCTCCCCCTCCCTCTGACATTTCCGTCAATACAACCAACGTGACATGCGCCGATAGTAGTAGTTCGAGCGGAGTTGACGAAGTAACAGGTTGTTGGAAGCTAGTTAGCTTAGTTAGCATTCTAAACAGCACAGGCTCTCAATTTCGGTCGGCATCTGTTCGCAACAGTCACACTTGCACCACCAATTGCTGTTTGCCCGTGATCTTTCGCCAGCTCCGGTCTGTTCTGGATCATATCTTTCTTGCCTCTCACGGTCCATAAGAGCTAATTCCTCCTCCGTGTACTCGGGTTCAAACAGATATGGCTCTGGGTCTTCTACAAAGAAGTCATAATCATCTACAAAGTCCGCCATTGCAAATGATCTGCAGTTTGCTAATAGCACAGCACAGGTAGTAAAAGTCACGTTGGTTGTATTGACGGAAATGTCAGAGGGAGGGGGAGAGGAAGCGGGAGCCGGGACTTTTCACGAGTGAAGATATTATTGCGCCAAGTCGAAGTGCTCAAAAGCACTTGTTATGGTATTCCGCCATTCAATATAGTCATCAATTTTAAACGCTTAGAAAAGCGCAACGGTTTATTTTGTGTCACCAGCCCAGGTCAAGTTACACTACTCGAGTAACTGTGTTTACATAGGGAAAACGTGGAAGTGTTTGGTCGCTTCTCTGCTTGGCCCATATTTAATGCATGGGCTAAGCTAAGTGCTAACATAGTTTTGCGGCAATACAGAGCGATATAGTGCACGCACTGAGAAGAGAGAGGTATGTATCAACTCGTCTTAGTTAAGGGAATAACATAGTTTAATAAGAAAAACTGGTGGAGTATCCCTTTAAGTATGAATGTTGATCAGCGAACATGTCCTTACAACCCCATAAACAGTCAAGCAGAGATCGAAAATGACTGAAATGCCACTCAGCTCCATTGAAAACTCATTTTCTATGTTCTTTTTAAAAGCAAAGTCCCTAATAAAATCAAATCGGCACAGAAGGTCATGTTGTTCAGTTTAAATCACTGGCAGACAGTTCAATGTGTTTTCATCCACCTCAAATAATTTTTTAGAAGCCCCAATGTCATAAATGATCTCTCTGATGGCATTTGGGAATTTGTAAGTCAGAGTCAGGGATTATTTCTAAGTGCAGTGTCAACATTGGGAAAAGCACTTTGGAGCTATGGAGCCACTTTGCAATTTGTGGATAACAGATATGAAACTACATACAAATCAAATTCCTGATTTAATTAATATGCTATCTCCTGTTCACAGGGCCCCCTTGAGCTTGAGCATGGCTGAAGCTCATTCGATCTCTTGGGTTAATGTGGCTCTGCTAATTATTGTTTTAGTTCATATAATGGATTAAATGACTAAATCCATGAACACATCATATTTTGGAAGGTGGTGCTCAAATAAACAATACTCAAATTCTCCAAAATTGTTTTGAGAATAGAAATGCAGATATTATGGTGTGTGGGAATATGGAATTGTGCCTTTAGTCTAAAAATACTCTTGAATTTCATGATGTCTTGGTAACTTTGTGTTGTTGTTCATGCCATCCTGTACATTAAGCAATTCATTAATTCTATGTGAATCATGTCATTAATCGCAAACACTTTTACATGGACAAATGCTGTGTAAATAACTGTTACTCATCTCAGGTATGATGATTAAATGCAATTCTTCGGCCACACTGCCAGTTAATAAATATGCAGAGAAAAGAGAAAATCTATGGTGAAATAAATTATTCCTCATTACTGTAGGAAACGGTGGTTCATAATGATACATAATGTGTTCGTTTCATTTAATTATTTATTTATTACAAATTATTAATGGTAAAAAATTATGCAGGACAACTGTAATGATCGGTTTTGAATGCTTATTTGTCTATATGCTTTCTATGTACATTGACCTGCCTTTTTATTAATAATTAAGCAGGAATGGTGACAAATTGAAATGAATCAGAAGCATTGGTTTTGATGTAGGTGTTTGCTGCTTCTGGTATTTTCTATGGTCTGCTTTCTCATCAATTTTCTACTTGACATTTGTGGTGTTCTGCTGAGGCTGGAGCATTTGGTGAAGTGCTGATCATCTTTTCAACGTCAGCTGTCCAGCTTCAGCTTGGAAACCAAAAAAGTGATTACCAAGGGATATGGCCATGGTTCAGACTCTCTTTTTGTCAGTTCCCTTTGTTTTCAAAGCAAAGATGCCTGGTATTCACGCATTTGGATTATAGCATTAGGCTTGATGACAGTACTATTTCCTCACATATTGTCATAAGGCACATGTATCTATCTATCTATCTATCTATCTATCTATCTATCTATCTATCTATCTATCTATCTATCTATCTATCTATCTATCTATCTATCTATCTATCGATCTATCTATCTATCTATCTATCTATCCATCCATCTATCCATCTATCTGATGCAGTAAGATGGATAAGTGATGAAAAAATTATTTGATTAATTAGTAAAGAATAAAAATGAATCATAAAAATAATAAAAACCATGAACTGTTAAGTAAATTTGTTAATAATAATCAGCTTTTAATAATAAGTAACAAAGTAGGCTAACAACAAACAAGTCGTTAAAGGGGTGGTATAATGCCTTTTTCACAAGATAAAATAAGTCTTTGATGTCCCCAGAGTGTGTATGTGAAGTTTTAGCTCAAAATACCCCACAGATATTTTTATATAGCATGTTAAAATTGTTACTTTTTGAGGGTGAGCAAAAATGCACCGTGTTTGTGTCTGTCCCTTTAATGCAAATGAGCTGCTGCTCTTGTCACAGAGGGTGGAGCTTCAACAGCTCGTGTCATTTTACCTCACACAGACATTGCACTGAAAATTTCAAAAATATTTAGCCTTCATGTTCAAACCGGAGTCAGACAATGATGGAGAGACTCAAGAAGAAGTGACAACATGTAGATCAATGCAACAGTACATTTCTGAATGGTTAGTTGAAGAATTTATGTTGCTGTTGTGCAGTTAACTCTTCTAGTCATTGATTAGCATTCTGTCATGATAATCTATAAATAGGCTTGTTCGACTTCATGCAGGTCAGCGCAGACCGATCGGCGGCAGACTTGAAGCAGTGCATGCCGGTTAGAAATTTTGTCCGACTTGATACAGCGCCGACGCCACGTGACTGTGACGTATGTCATCAAAGTACAGCGAGAGCGATTCGAGAGTAGCCGGAGAACTCAGCCAGCGCAGCTTCTGAACCAAGGGGGTAATCCATCGACCGGAAGTTGAAGCCGGCCGGGTACCGCCATCTTGTAGCAGAACTTCACTTGCGTTAGCATTTCCATTGACTACCATTCATTTTGGCGTCACTTTGACAGCGAATAACTTTACATCTGAGGCGTTTAAAGACTCCATTTGTCCATTATTTATTTCTAAAGAAACACGACAATGTATAAAGGGCTCCATTACCTTCTATGTTAACGTACATTATGGCCCCGTAGAAACAGTTTTAGTAAAAATAGGCTAACGATTGCGTCATAACCACTCGACTCTCTGTCGCGCTGTACAGAAATTACCGTACAGACAGGAGGAGAAGCTCGCAGGCAATCGGGGGGACGTCCCGTCAAGAGAGAAGCCCATAGATAATGAGTCCATAAAAGCAACGGAATACTTACTCCTGCTCACTCACGATAAAGGACTCTTTGCTCAAGTTTCCCGTCTCTGCAAGATTGACGTTGGCAATTTTCACGCACAGCTACTAGAAGATTAACGTCTGTCAGACAGGTTGCTCACGTCATCAAGCTTAGTTTGAGTCGGTTTGAGTCTGCGCGTCAGGAACGGAAGTGCTCAAAAATCGCTAAAAATGGGATTCAACTGTCTCAACTGAGTTCCAATGAGATGGCTCTGTCCATTTCTTATACTGTCTATGCTTCTGAAGAGCGGCTGCTCTGGGCTGCACGAGCTCTGATGACGACACAGCTGTTCCACGATTGGCCGGATTCACCGCATGACAACGATCACGTGCGTTTCGTGTTTATTCGGTTTATTCTCACACCTTTAGTTCCACTAAAGCTCACAAATCAGTTTGTTTTTTTTTTTACAGTAAACAGATCTTTTCATGTAGTCGCGATGTATTGTGTTATGTTTATCAAAATAAAACAGATTAAAAAACGTTGATTCCACTTCATAGTAGGCTTATGTTGAACTTTATTCTTGTTCAAACAAACGCTGTATGAAGCAG